TGCAAAGTTCTTGTCTGCTTATGGTCCCAAGCCAGGAAACAATCCACTCTCCCTGCTGGATGCTTTCCCGGATTCACCCTGCGACCTCGGTGAACTGTTGTCACTCCCTTTGCCTCAGTTTCCCTGAATCTGTGGTGTCTCAACGCACACCCAGGCAGGAGGGGGGGCGGGGGAGCCGGTTACTGGCTTGTACTGGTAGCTGCTGGGTGCTCACACAGCATCACCCGCTGAAAGAAACAGGGAGAGAGTAGGTATTCTGAAAAATTTCAGTGATTTTTTCAAAAAGTGGCGTGTTTTAAGTAAAAACCTGGGGTAGGGAGGGAAGCAATTTAAAGAAAAAATGATTTCAGGCAGAGATTACCCTGGAGAGAGGGTTGACTGTGCACACTGGGGGGTAAGGAGTACTCAAGCCTTCCCCAAACTTGAACCTCTCTCTGTTGTTCTCGTACACAAATATTTGGCTTTCTGTTGCCAAAAAGGAAAAGAATCCAGCCCAGAACCCAGCCAGTCTCTCTCAGTGTTGCGCTTTTTCCCCAAATGCTGCTGAAATCACACACATCCAGCTGAAAACTACAGCGGGGAGATACCGGAGGACTAGAAACATTTATTCCCAGCCCGGTTCTCATGACTTTGGAAAGAGACTCAGAACGAAACTAAGACTGAAGAGGCTTCCCTTTCCCAGGGCCTGGGATCATTTTTGGGGAAGATGTGGCCAAGACCTTTTTGAACCAGAATTACCAGCCCCGAGTCCTTCCCCTTCCCCTTCCCCGCCGCCGTTTCTGGGCAGGAAGCAGTTGCGCTTTGCCGGAAGCCCCTGTCACGCTGCCATTTCCATCACCCACAGCAACCCTGCCCCGGGTCCCCGGGGGGGGAAGAGGGTCCCCACCACCTCTGTGAGGGGAACAGCATCCTTCATCCTCCAGCCTTTGGACTGCTCGAGCTGGACCACCCCCTCTGCATCCTTCCACCAAGGGGGGACAGTGGCAAAGGACAGATCTCTCAGGGAGGGTTTTTCCACTCCTGCAAGGAGCTGCTTTGATGGGACCATCTTGCAAATTTATAAGCCAAGGAGTTCTTTTTTTTTTTTTTTTTTTTCTCCTTATAAGAAGACTTAATTCCGAGTCCTTCCCCTTCCCCTTCCCCGCCGCCGTTTCTGGGCAGGAAGCAGTTGCGCTTTGCCGGAAGCCCCTGTCACGCTGCCATTTCCATCACCCACAGCAACCCTGCCCCGGGTCCCCGGGGGGGGAAGAGGGTCCCCACCACCTCTGTGAGGGGAACAGCATCCTTCATCCTCCAGCCTTTGGACTGCTCGAGCTGGACCACCCCCTCTGCATCCTTCCACCAAGGGGGGACAGTGGCAAAGGACAGATCTCTCAGGGAGGGTTTTTCCACTCCTGCAAGGAGCTGCTTTGATGGGACCATCTTGCAAATTTATAAGCCAAGGAGTTCTTTTTTTTTTTTTTCTTTTTCTCCATCATAGCAGCATTGAATTGGAATGAAGTTATTCTCAAGCTAATATATTTGCAGCACTTTTCCCTTGGGGTCTAGCCCCGGTGGGAGGGTTAAGAGAGGGCTTCAGGCAGAAGAGCATCATCCGGCTGTGGTGCTGGTGCTCTAGCTGTGCCTTGTTGTCATCATTGCAGAGGCAAATCTGGCTTTTGGGGTATTTTGGGGTCCTTGAAGCTCGGCTCAGCACGGCACAGCTTACCCAGTTTCCAGCTGGCAGAAAAAATTAGGCAACTTGAGGTTTCTTCAGCCTTGGGGTAGATGGACCTTGCCCAACGGTGGCCTTGAAGCTGGGTGCTTCCCCAGCACCCGGCGTAGAAATTAGCTGAACCTTTGGGAACAGCCCTGAGCTAAGAGATGGGGATTTTCTCAGATTTACTTCAAAAAACTCTTAACAATCTGGTTCTTCAACAAAATGTCCTGCCCTGCATGCAACTGTCCTCAGCTACGAGCACACCCAGCACTTCTCAGCTTAGATCTGTTCCTCCTCCATTCAGCTTAGATTTCCTCAAGGAAACACTATTATTTATGATGGAAGCTTTCCAGGAATTAAATTGCCTCATTCTGGATACTAACCCAGTGACTTTATTTATTTGGAATTGGCAATCATCTCAAAAAAGGTTAAACAACCAAGAAGTGAAAGATACTCATGCTTCGGCACTGTAGACTAAATTCCCCTGTCTTATCAGATCTTTGCTATGATTCAAGGTGCACTTGGGTGCAGGTGGGGAGGAATTGGAGTAACGAACCAGGCCATGGGGCTGGGGAGCCTTGGGCATGAAGGCCCCATGTCTCTCCCTTGGTGGGGCTCAGGTGCTTGGGAAGGAGCTCAGGTGCTGCTCCCCTGGAGCCGTTCTGCAGGACACCCTGACCTGCCTTAGCTGCCAAGTGGGACGACGTCTACGTCCGTCGGAGAAGATGATCCAGGTTTTAAAGGGCTTTGGAGATTAGAAGAAGGTCACCCTGTTTCTCACGCTGCTGATTATTCCTGGTACAGTGGAGCCTGGAGGACATGGGGAACGTGCTGAACGGTGCCTGTCCTGGAGAAAGGAGGTAAAACCTCCATGTCATTGCCCCACGCTGGGATTGTGGAGGCTGCTGGGTTGTGCATGCAACATCTTTACAGCCCCATGCCTTGGGCGGGAATGGAGGAGCAAACAGCAATGGCTTCTGCTGCATCTGAGCTTCCAAAGCACCCAGCTTCTCTGGGATGAGATCTTCACCTCCTTACTCTAGGAAGAAAAGGAAGGGAAGTCAGGATGGTGGACAGGAGAGAAACACCAGCAGCATGGGGTTTGTGCAAGGGTGAAGCTCTGCCACCCTGCTGTGGTACCCCACTGCTGGGACGGGGACACCGCCTTGGGACCCCATCCCCACTCCTGATGGTCTCACCAGACCCCCTGACCACCGTAGGCTGCCAAAGAAGTCCAGTGAAGGAAGGTCTTGGGGGTGAGAGGCAGTGGGGAGGCAGAACACGCAGTATCAGCTGGGTTTGTCTCCAATTGTCACTGACACCCCAGGTCAGATGTGCTGGAGAGGTGACAGAGTCTGGCTGAGATCCTCCCCATGCCAAGGGACGGGTCGGTGGCTCCTGAGGAGTTTGTGAAAGGCCCCTGCGAGCTGTGATAAGGCTATCTCTCTGACTGATAGACAAGAAATGGGGTTGGCAAGTCTGTTCTGGGTTGATGGCATTGACCGATAATGTCAGGGCAGCTACACAGGAGATTTCCTACCCTGGAGCTGGGGTGGAGGTGGGTTCTGGACCTGGGGCCCCTCTCAAAGCTGGAAGAGGAGGGAGAGGGTGGAGGTGAGCTGGGGCAGAGGCCACTTTCCCTGGGCCTGTAACCGGAGCCTCGGTACATGGGTGGCAATTTTCAGCAAGCAAAAGCAAATAGGAAGGGAAGGAGGAGAGTGTTTGATTTCCTGCTACTGGGGTGGATAAGGAGGGGCTGGCAAACAGCGGCACCGGGAAACCTCCACGTTTCCTTATCCTTGTCCTTTCCCCACACCTGCCTGGTCTCCCAACTGGTGGGCGCTCGCTCTCTGCTCCTGACTAACGGGGAGGAGCTGAAAGCACCAGAGAGAAATCGGGAGGAGAATTTACCCATCACACCAGCGAGGATGCTGCTCCCCAGGGAATGAAGCATCACTCCTGGAGTGTGCTGGGCTGGGCTTCCCTCCACCCCCACCATGGTGCTGCGGCAATGGAGCAACTGGGGACCCAGTAGAGCTGGTGGGGGATAAAGGATACTCTGGAGCATCCCAAGCCTGAAAGGTGGGCAGCCAAAACCACAGCAGAGCTGTTTTGTTGAGCCCAGGGTCTGAGCGGCTGCATCCGTGAGCAGGGTCACGCTGGGGCGGGTGGCTATTACTCGCCCACAAAATGCCCATTTCCTATAGCGTAGCCCTATAAAAGAAAAATCGTGCTTGATTTCTGATGACCTTATGTTACGTGCCTACAGACAGGTGAGCTAACTGGGTGGAGTTTTCCTCTTGACTTCGCAGGGCTTGCAGCTGCCCTTTAATTAATTTTAAGTGAAGTTAATTGAAACAGGGCATAGTTTGGGAGCTGGCAGTCTGTCCACCTCTTCTCTTCCCCTTCCCTGCTCTGGCGAGGCTGTGGAGACATGCACGGTGCTAATGGATGGGTCGGGGAGGAGGTTTTCCCTGCCTTTCCTGGGGAAGACAACATGCTTTGATGTCATTTATAGGAAGAGCTGGGCATCTTCATCGCCTCAGCATGAGGGTATAAAAGATTGCCAGGAGCAAGGGGGGTGGATTTCTTCCCTTTCTGGTCACGGCACCCACTTGTGTCACGCAGCGTTGTTTGCTCAAGGGGGTTGAGTAGCTCTCGGCACCCCTTTGTAGGGGTGATCTCAGCAGCGAAGAAATGAATGGGCAGTGGATTCCTACCGAGCACCCTTCACGTAGGAAGAGGCCCCGGGGGTCAAGGTCAAGGCACGTTGCTGCCACAGCGTAGGAAGGGCTCTGCAGCTGGAAAAACTCGGGCACCGACCTCCTGACTCACAGCCCGGGCAGGGCAGGTTGGAGAGTTTGGGTCCTACTTCTGTTGCAACCTGTTTGGGTGTCCAGAGGTAAAGGAGTAGAGAAGATGCTGTGGAGCATCGGGAGCTCCTCAGGGTTCAGCATTCCCACCTTGGCACCTGTCTGGGCAAGGGGGGCACAGGGTGGCATTTGTGAGATCTTTGGAGAGTGGCTCCCGATGCTCATGAGGAGGTGTGAGAGCGGCGGTGGGCGTTATAGATGTGCCTGGAGATAAGCTGTTGAGGCACCACCAGCAGTGCCATGTCGGCAATGTGCTGGCATGGCCATGTCCTGCCCTTCGGGATGGGTCATGACTTGCTCCTGCTTCTTGCCTCAGCTCCAGCAGACATGGGGGTGACCAAATGTTGTCCTGAATGTGTCACAGGGGTTGTGCCCATGTCCCCAACCCTCTAGCTGACTTTTTGGCTTTATCTCCTCCTTTCAGATCGACAAGTACCTCTACCACATGCGGCTCTCCGAGGAGACCCTCCAGGAGGTGTCCCAGCGTTTTGGGAAGGAGATGGAGAAGGGGCTGGGGGCAGACACCAACCCTACCGCCATGGTGAAGATGCTGCCCACCTTCGTGAGATCCACCCCGGATGGGACAGGTACCATGAGACAGGAGATGCTCCCTGCCACCAAGCAGAGGGACAGCGCGGTGGGGAGGTCTCAGTAGGTGCCAGGAGGCAAGGTTGGGGCCAACCATCCTCATAGTGCTGCCAAAACAGGGATGGATAGCACCCATGGCCACCTTCACTCCTGGTCCTTGGGGCTTCATCCTGCTTCTGCTGAGCAAAGCTTAGTTTGGGGACAGCTCCCATTCTCCGCTCGGTTCCATAGTGGGGGTGGGAACCAGCCCTCGCGTGCTCTTCCTGGCAGGACAGAGACAGTCACGGGTCCGGCTCATCAGGTTTCATTAGACTGAAGCAGGCAGCAGTGCCAGCCGCTCTCTGAATGCCACGAGGGCCACTGGAGGAGAAGGGGGCTCTCCAGACTTGGCTCCTCACAATACAACCTTTCTGGCCGCTTCCTGGGCAGAAGCCGGGCTGCCCGCAGCTCGCTCCCCGCCAGGGACATCCCTGTTTTGGGCTCTGGTTTGCTCCTCTCAACTCCAAAACCTGCTTCCTCCAGCATCCATATGGGAAATTTCCTCGTGCCTCCTCTCCTAGCTCGGTGCTTTGGGAAGGAGCTTTGCCGTGTCCCTGCAGCATCACCCCTTGCCCGCCGATGCTGATGCCACCCAGGACCTGCCAAATCTCTCAGCTCAAAGCCAGTGGAGTGGTGGTGGCTCCTGAAGGGCAGGGAGGGACAGAGAGCCCCGAGCAGCCGGAGCTGCCCCTGGCTCTGCTTCTGGGCTGGCAGCAGCCCTGGGGAAAGACCCCAGGCCAGTCGGTCCCGTTGGCTGGAGCTGGCTCCAGCATCAGCATCTTCATGGGGGTCCTTGCAAAACCTTGGCAGCAGATCTGCTGACAGCCAGCAGGAAAGGTGGATAAAGAGGCAGGGAGCTGCTGGAAAGACCTATCTACCCTTCCCTCCCCATCCCCAGCTGTTTTGGCCCCGCTATATTTTCATACCTGGCTTCTGCAGGTGAGCGGGTCCCAGCAGATACTGTGGGCTGGAGTCTCAAGCGACCTGGCCTCGGCAGGCAGTGACTGGGCAGACTGGAGTTGCGTCTCCTGAGAAGCACGCCGAGCCAGCGCGAGCCTGACAGCGATGGTGTTAAATAAGGTGTACCTGAGAGGTAGCGGTGCTCAAACAGTGACAAAAAAACCCCATTGCTGCTTGTTGTCCACTCTCTCGAGGCAAGGACCAAGGTGATGAGCTGAAGGTTTCCATCACTGGCCAGCTCTGGGTTGGTGTTGGCTGGTAACATCTCGGTGAGATCTGAGGGGAGAAGTCCCTGGGGAGTCACGAGCACCACAGAATGGTTTGGGTTGAAGGGACCTCTAGAGGCCATCTAGTCCACCCCCCCTGCCATGAGCAGGGACATCTTCAACTGGATCAGGCTGCTCTGAGCCCCGTCCAGTCTGACCTGGAATGTTTGTAGGGATGGGGCATCTACCATCTCTTTGGGCAACCTGGGCCAGTGTCTCACCACCCTCGGTGTAAAAAAGTTCTTCCTTATATCTAGTCCTATCTAGTCTGAATCTCTCCTCCTTTAGTTTAAAACCATTACCTCTTCTCCCATTGCTGCAGGCCCTGCTAAAAAGTCTGTCCCCACCTTCCCTTTGAGCCTCTTTAAGTATTGAAGCATCCCTGCACCCAGAGCCTCGTGCTCGCCTCCCCCTTCCCCCCCCCACCTAGTGCACGTACACCCAAAAGCTGGACCTGGCTCCCTGCCCCAGGACAGAGATTTCAATCTATTTAAACATTTGAGAATATTTTTAATTACAGGGATAGCTGGAATGCCGCCCCTGGGCACGGGAATTATTGCAGCCAAAGGTGCTGGGTGCTGGCGGAGCGTGTGTCAGAGCTCCCGAGAGGCAGGAGCAGAGCTGACCTATGTTGGGGAGAAGGTGCAATCCCTCTCCTTGCCCTTACAAGAGCCAGCTTTGGCTTCCTTCGCTGTATCCTCCCCATTCGCAGCTTCTCCGGTGTCCCAGCTAGCATTTCTCACCCAGAGCAGGGGAAAAAAGGGGCACAGCAATATGGAAAATGCCATGCCGAAGGGATGCTGGGGCAGTCATGGGGCTGCAGCTGCCCGGGGACTGGAAAATGGGAGGTTTTTGAGCAAGTCCCAGGGAGCCAAGAGCTGGGATTCCCTGTATGGCTCCGGGTTGTGAGCGGCATCGGTGTCTCTGCTGTTGGGTTTCGGTGGGGGGGACTGGAAGGTCAGTGCCACCGGGTGAGCCGAGGCCACCCGTGGGGCTCGCTGCCAGCTCCCCTGGCTTCTCACTTTGCAACAAGATGGTGTGACAATGGCTCGGGAAGAGGTCAACGTCCAGGCCTGCCTCCTTCCTTCTTCCGCTTTTTATGAAGCTTCTGGGCAAAGTCTGACTTTGGAACGGCACGACATCCCCTTCCCACCCGCTCCCGGTGCCCGCGGCTGCCTCCCACCTGCAAGACAGGTTATTCCTCTGCCCCAGCCAGGCCAGCTCTAACCCAATCCTGCTGCCACACCAGCTTCGGAGGCTCCACACCTTCCTCCTCTGGAGCATCTCTGCCCTTCCTACCCCTCCTTGCTACAGCCTGAGTTGTCTCTGCTTTGGGATTACGCCCCGTCCAACGCGCAGCTCCCAGGGATCCGGGCGGATGAGAGGCGCTTATAGAAATACAAGGTCACATCTGCAGGTTGAAGTCAAAACACAGACACGGCTCCCAACCTCTCCACCCCTCCTCTGCACTCTTGGTGGCTTTGCCATTCTTGAGGCAACATAAAAGGGGTGGAGATTTCTGCTTCTGAAGAAAAAGCAACTTTTCTTGCTTTGTTCGGCTGCAGCACCCACAGAAATGCCCGCTGTGCTGTGCTTGCAGCGAGGCAGTGGGCATCCTACCACAGGCTGATGGGGGAAAACAGATCCCAAATCAGCTTTTTCTTGAAACCCCAGTGACTCTGATCTCCTTGCTTAGTGCAAACATCACCTTCCTCCCTGCTCCTTTCCTGGCGTTTCCAGGTTTTACTGGCATTGCCACGTTTCCTCCTCCGTGCTGGTGCTAACACAAGGATCTTCTGGTGCATCCCCCAGTAAGCCCCAGCAGCTGATATCCATGGCCTGAGGTTTTCAGGAGGATGCTGCAGGACTTTGGTGCTCAAGTTCCTGGAAATTCAAAGGGTGGTTCTAGGCTGGACATCTTGAAGGGTCTTTACAACACCTTTCCCTTGGCTGGTGTTATTCTTGCCGATAACCAGCTGCCTCTGCAGGAAAACCAGCTCGCGTGGCCCATGATCTTGAAGTTTTAAAGAAAAAGCCGTTTTCATGCCCAGAGCCCCCCTCCTGGTGATTTACTGCACTCCCCAGCAAGGAATGGCGAATCTCTGCCAGACTACTCTTGCTGTGGTCACCGTGAGTCGCTCTTTGCTGGACCCAATTCTGTCCAAACCAAGCCACCAGGTTAATCCTGGATTTTTTGGTGCTGCAAACCTGGTATTTCACGCCCCATACATCATAAGCCCCTTTGCTGCTCTCCAGTGCTAAATCGGTGGAGATGCTGATGCAAGCACCAGGGCTTTTCTGTTCCCTCTTCTGCTTGAATCCTCTCAGCTGACTGGAAGGAGCCAGGGTAGGGATGGAAAGGGCGTCCGCAGACAGGGATGGAGTGGGAACCGCTGGGGTGTGCGCCTCCACCTCATCCTGCATCTCCCTGGGGGTCAGAGCCTGGACCTGCTCCAACTGCTTCCTCTTACTCTTTTTTTTTTAATTTTTTTTTTTAGTTTTTATTAAGCCAATTCACTGAGGATTCCTACAAAATGGGATTGTTGTCGGTTGGAAGCCTTGAGATCTGAGGTGGGAGGTGTGGGGTGAGCGACCTCCGAGATGCTGAGGCGTGATCCTGCACATGCTGCTCTGGACCCCTGGCACGGGCTGTATTTCTGGGGATGGCAGAGCTCCTCTGCCCGCTTTGCCCCGTGCTTTCTTCCAGGGAGCACAGGCATTTCTTGAAGCCATGAAACACTCACCCTTAGGTGGTTGGCTGAGAGCAGACAGGCCCTTGAATCAGAGCTCCATGTTTGCCCTTGCTGTTTGGTTTGTGGGCTCAGCACCGAAGCCTCTATCTTATCCTGTACGGAGGGAGCCCTAATCAAAGGGAGGACCCAGAGCAGCCCATCACACAGCCACATTGCTTCAGCCTGGGAATTTTCTAAGGGAGATTTTGCTGCCTTTTTCCTCCTGCAAAGCTGATCCACCCAGGAATCATAGAATGGTTTGGGTTGGAAGGGAACTTAAAGCCCCCCCAGTGCCACCCCCTGCCCTGGGCAGGGACACCTCCCACCAGACCAGGTTGCTCCAAGCCCCCTCCAACCTGGCCTTAAACCCCTCCAGGGATGGGGCAGCCACAGCTTCTCTGGCCAACCTGGGCCAGGCTCTCACCACCCTCACAGCAAAGAAGTTCTTCCCCACATCTCCAGCTCCATCTCCCCTCTTTCAGGGTCAAACCCTTCCCCTTCATCCTACCACTCCTTTCCCTGATCCAGAGTCCCTCCCCAGCTTTCCTGGAGCCCCTTGAGGGACTGGAAGGGACTCCAAGGTCTCCCCGGAGCCTTCTCTTCTTCAGGCTGAACCCCCCAACTCTCTCAGGCCCCCCTCCCAGCAGAGGGGCTCCAGCCCTCCCAGCATCTCCGGGGCCTCCTCTGGCCCCGCTCCAACAGCTCCATGTCCTTGGGATGTTGGTGGCCCCAGAGCTGGAGGCAGCACTGGGGGGTGTCTCCCCAGAGCAGAGCAGAGGGGCAGAATCCGCCCCCCCAGCCCTGCTGGCCACGCTGCTGGGGATGCAGCCCGGGGTGTGGGGGGTTTCTGGGCTCCAGCACATGTTGATGGGTGACGTTGAGCTTCTCATCCACCCACACCCCCAAGTCCTTCTCAGGGCTGCTCTCCAGCCATTCTCTACCCAACCTGTATTTGTGCCTGGGATTGTCCCAACCCACATGCAGGACCTTGCACTTGGCCTTGTCTTGGCACCCCCTGACTGTAGCAGTTGCCACTTGAACCACTTGTACATCTCCTGTGGCTGTAGAGCAGCTTGTAAGGGGGATTTTTGATTTAATAATAGTTAGGTCCTGCTGCTGCTTTGTGGTGAAGGTCTTTGGCCTTTTTCTTGGGATGATGTCTGTTCCTCCACATTATCTCCCAGGAGCTGAGCAACCCGTGACCCTCTTGGCTTCAGCATCCTTACCTCTGGTGTATTTATCAGTCCCCTGTGGTGGTTTTTATGCTCTGCTAAGCGAGCAGAACGGCATCTGTGCCGGCAGCAAGGGAAGCAGGAGTATGGTGTGACCCCTGTTTGGGCCAGAACATGATGCCAGTGGTGCCCAGGCATCGCGTCCAAAGCTAAATCCCCACAGTGGGGCTTACTGGTGACACCAGGACAGCGAGGAGCTTCGCTGAGGGTTTTCCTGGTGCATTTTTCAGCATCTGTGTGAAGAGACATGGCCGAGGCATGCCCTGTGGCTGGCAGACAGGCTGGGAAACGAGCTGCCAAACTGGTTTAAACCTCATCCCTGCAAAGGGTCAACGCGGGTGTGAGGCGAGGAGGAATGAACACCCGGAGTCTGACTGTCCCAGCACACGAGCTCCGGCACTCCAGCGCTCCGCCGGCTCCCGTGCTGTTCTCCAGCCCAGCGAGCGTTGAATTGGATGTCTTTTGGCCACGCTGCCTTGCTCAGAGCTCAGAGCCATGCCGAGGGTGTCATTCATAGAAGAATGAGTTGCAAAGCTTTGATGGGGTCCAGGTTTGGGCTGCTCCGTGGTTCTGGGTTAATGGTTGGTCTCGGGGTGTTACCTTAACCCCCAGGACTGCAGCCAGGGCAGCGTAGCCTGCGATGGTATGGCTTGGCATGGGCTGATTCTACCAAGAGCTGGGACCCCATCTACTCTGCATCACCCAGTGCATCTGGGGTGATGCGCTGACCCCCCTGGAGTGATGCACTCACCCTCCCCAGTGGTCCCCCCATTCTCCATCCCGAGCAGCAAGGCTGTTGGACCCTGCTGAAGACCTCCAAGCCCCTCTCTTATTCCTCATCTTATTTCCTCAGAGCACAAGGGCTGCTTTTAATAGACCTTTTTAGCAGCGGAGGGACTTTATAAAGCTGCTCTCAGCCCAGGCTCCGAGTCTGTCACCATCTGCAGTTCCCTTGCCCCGAGTCCTCGGAGGGTCAGCCCCAGAAAAGACGCCAAGACAGATGGACGCCCTGCAGGCTTGGACAGCGAGCTGCCTTTTCAGCTGGAGTCACTGGAGATGCTGGCTGGCCTGGTGTCATTTGAATACTAATAAACCACACTTTTTGTTTCAACTGTAGCCCCTTTGTAAGAGCCTCAGCCGGGCACAATGCGGCCCCCGGGCGCTGTAATCTGCCCAGGGGAGCCAGCACAGCACATTTAATGTATTCAGAAATCAAACAGTGCTGATAGAGGGCTTTCCCCCATCCCTCTCCCCACACCACTAGGTATTTAAAACAGCCAGCTTGGCACTTTTCCCACATCCCAGGTCTTATTTGGTCTGAAATTCAGCCTTGGTGCCTGCTACAATAAAAAGAAACAGGAGGTGAAACCCGCTGGGCTGAGCCCTTGGGCCTTGGAGGCAGCAGGACATGGGGCTCCTCTCGGCCAGTTCTCTGCGTCCCACGTCTGGCCGGGAAAGGCAGCAATGAAACCCCAAGGGCTTTTGGATTTCTTTTTCCTCCCTGGTTTCCTGCTTACACCTTTCCATCTTGCCTTCAGCGAGAAGCCACATGCCAGGAGCGTGCAGGATTCCTGGGGCAGGGCAGGGGTGGTTGTCCTGCACTGCAACAGCCAACAGGTTTTTATCAAATAGCAAATGTTTAGCCAAACTCTAGTGTTTCACCACCTTGTTTCAACAGGCTTTAACAGCCTGGGCTGGAGATTTAGGTGCTTTTGTGAGCATCCTGCATCAGTAGGGTCAGGAGTGGCTCTGCTGCCTTCTTCCTCATGGAGCCTGAGGCTGGAGCTCCTCTTCCCTGGGAGCGCTGTTGGTTTGAGCACAGGCTTGTCTAGATGGGGCCAGCAGGACGTGTCCTCCTGCCACCAGTGCTCCCAGCTCAGCCAGTGCCTCTGCACACCCTGCCCAGTGCATCAGGATACATCTCAAAGATGTTGCTTTGATCCCCCATCAGCTACGGGGGTGCTGGAGGTGCAGAGGAGGGGCAGGAAATACAGGTACAGCTCTGATAAATTACAAAAAAAACCCCAAAACCAATAATAATAAATAAAACAATGAAAAAATATTTAAAAATAATGCCTTACCCTCATAGTTTGAGGTGGCTGGTTACTTCCTTGCCTGCTCCGGGGCTGTCTGGCACAGGAACAGATGCTGCCAAAAATGGGCTGCTGAATTAATGCTTGTTCTTGTCTCTGGGCTCCCTCAGAGGATGGAGACTTCTTGGCACTGGACCTCGGTGGCACCAATTTCCGTGTGTTGAGAGTGAAGGTGTCCGACAACGGCCTCCAGAAGGTCGAAATGGAGAATCAGATCTACGCCATCCCCGAGGAACTCATGCGAGGCAGTGGGATGCAGGTGGGTTCAACCCCTCTACCCCCAATCCCTGCTCTCCTGGGCAACCCTCCAACTGCAGGGCTCCCCCCATGGGGGAAACCACCCATCTTGGGACAGTTCTCCTGCCTGGAGGGAGGGTTGGTGTCACCCCCAAGGCCCTGAGGTGTGTAATGGGGTTGGAGCAGCATCCTACTGCTGCCTTGCCCGGCAGGATCCAGGGAGATCCTTGACTTCCATTGCCTGGAGCTAATAATTTCTGACACCAAGTAACCATGATGGGTGAGGACCATGGAGGTATCATGCGGATGACAGACCACCAGCCCCTCGAGCAGGCAGGGGTGCAGGTGCTGCTCTGGTGCAGCTTGGTCAGGGCAGCCAGGCAAGGGCTCACTCTCTGCCTTTTTTTCTAGCTCTTTGACCACATCGCTGAGTGCTTGGCCAACTTCATGGAGAAGCTGAAAATCAAAGACAAGAAACTCCCCCTTGGGTTCACCTTCTCCTTCCCGTGTCACCAGACCAAGCTGGATGAGGTGAGTGATGGTCTCCCCTGCCGAGGATTGTGGCTGGGATGCAGTGGGATGGGGTCCAGCTCTTGGTGGTGCCAGTAGCTGTCCCACACCAGTTAAGCTTCTGCTTTTAAATAGGCTGGTTGGGTTTGGGTGGTGTGTAAGGTCTTGGTGCTGATGGGAGCATAGAATCAGAATCTTCTAGGTTGGAAGGGACCTCAAAGATCATCTGGTCCAACCGTCAACCTAACTGACAAAAATAGACACCCACACAACAAACAAGAAGCATCCCCATCACTAAACCATACCTCCCAGCACTACATCGACCTGCCTTTTGAACACCTTCAGGGATGGTGCCTCAACCACCTCCCTGGGCAGCCCATTCCAGTGTCTGAAAATAGGAAGTGTCCCGGGGCTTGTGGGGGTCTAGGAGGTGATGTTTAACGTGCCCTTTGCACGGGTGCCTCCCCGGAAAGCGCAGACAGAGCTGCAGGAGAGCGGCTGCGGCGGGAGAGCAGCTCCAGCCAAAGGCAGCCCAGACGTGCCGAGCATCACATCCCCCGTCATGCGTACGGGGAGAAGAGGGAGGGAGGGAGGGAGGGAGGGAGGTCACCCTCCCCGGCTGCTCGCCATGCTCCAGGCAGCCGGGAATCGATGGCTGTCAGCTCTGCTCAGCCGTGCCGGCTCTCCTCTCCGCCGGGAGCTGGTGACCTCGCTGGGAGACTAAACATCTCGGCGAGCAGAGCCCAGCGGAGGCACGTGGCCCCTCTCCTGCCACCCACGGCCTCAGCCGGGCTCTCGCTCGTGGTGGCAGGGGTTGGGGGGGGGCTGTTACTTTCCTTGCCCTTATCTCACCCGGCTTCCCAGGCAGGATTGGAAAGGAGGGCAGCTCCATGGCGTGCTGACGATCCAGCACGTCCTCCCCTGATGGGAATGCGGTGGCATTTTGTACCAGGGATGGGGCAAGTCATGCTCTCGTGCCTGAGCGATTCAGCAGACGTAATGAGGAAGAAGTTTAAGGCTTGCCTCGTGACAGCAGCGAGGGTTGTAAAAGAAAAAGCATAAAGAAGCTGGGAGAGGAAGCATCTCTTCCCAGTGACCTTGTCCGATTGCTTCCCTCTGTGCCTCAGTTTCCCTGTCCGTAAGGTAGGGCAGGTGTTTCCCTCACTAAGGCTTCTGGGACCCTGGGGTTCGAGATTTTAAATGCCATCGAGTCCTTTCCCTTCCCCCAGGGCTCGGCGTAGCCTCCGGCTGGGTGACAGTGGTGGCTCTGCTGGGTGGGGATGGAGCCAGTACCTCTGGCCACAGGAGATGGTGAGACCCTCATCCCACAGGGATGGGGCAAGGAGCAATTTGTAGGCTTGGGAACAGGTTTTGCTCCAGGGGTCCATAAAACCCAGTCACGGGAATCATGTTCCCTCCCGCTGGCAGGAGAACGAGCAATTCACATTCTGTTTTACGACCATAAACTTTATCTGCTCGGAGACGCGGAAATCATTGCTGATACCGCAGCTCACAAGCTGATAACAGGGAGGGACTCACCTGTGGTGCTGTGTCCATCCAGCCCTTCCCTGCACTGGGGAGCCCTGGAGACACATGGCTTGGTGGGTCTGTCCTCCGAGCATCCCTTCTTGCTGTTTCTCCATAGAGCATCCTGGTGACGTGGACGAAGGGATTCAAGTGCAGCAGCGTGGAGGGGAAAGATGTGGTGTCGCTGCTGCGCAAGTCCATCAAGAAAAGAGGGGTAAGAGGCTGGGCAGGTCTGTCACCTCCTGGGGTGGTGGGACAGTGGCCTGTGTTTCCCTGGGTCAGGACACTTGCAGCTCCACACCTTGGTTCCCCTGTGACAGCAGAGACGTTTTGGTCTGTTTTGACTCAATCTCTCTTCTCTCCACCATCTCAGGACTTTGACATTGACATCGTGGCCGTGGTGAATGACACCGTTGGGACCATGATGACCTGCGGCTACGACGATCATAACTGTGAAGTTGGCCTCATTGTTGGTGAGCTGCAGCAAGGGAGGAGAACTGGGGTTCATCTCTTCACGACCTCCAGAAGATCACATTTATTGCAGATTTCAGGGGTTTTTTTGGTGGGGGGAAGAAAGGTGACAGTGATATTAGAAAACCAGTGTTGTCCCATGTTTGTTTTCTTCCATCTTCACTTTCTATGGTGAAAACAAGCTGGGATTTTTGGGGGGCTGTTCCTAATTATGGGTAATATATGAAGGGCAGCGTCCTCTCACCACATCCCTGTGCTTCATTCAGGTACCGGCACCAACGCCTGTTACATGGAGGAGATGAGGCACATTGATCTGGTGGAAGGGGACGAAGGTCGGATGTGCATCAACATGGAGTGGGGAGCCTTTGGTGACGATGGTGTGCTCAACGACATCCGGACAGAGTTCGACCATGAGATAGACATGGGCTCGCTCAACCCTGGCAAACAATTGTAAGCAGATTCTTGGCTTCGGCTCAGGCTTGGGGTTTGCTCTGCATTGTTCGTCCTCCCATCGCGCTGGCGTTAGTGGGACCGAAGAGGTCGTCCCAGTTAACTAGGTCACTGCGTCCTCCGCTGTGCCAGCTACACCAATGCAAACAGGGGCTGTACCACAAATTTGGGTTGGTGTGCCCAACTGAACCACTCAGCACCCGCTTCCCTCATGAGCTTTTCACTTGAATGTGTTGATTCCTGTTTCTTTGCCCTGCCAATGGAGCTACCTACCAGCCAAGGCAAACACCACCACCTAATGTCCACATCCAAGTCCTACAGATCTCCTGTTCCCCAGGTGGCAGCGTGGGGGGGGCTCTTTGCAAACCAACAGGCGCCCTTCAGGTAGCCGTAATTTCTCCTTGCAGAATGATGGTTATGTCAACACGGCTTTATTTTCTCACTGATGGGATAAACTACTCTGGAAAGAGATTACCTAGATTGCTTTTGGGCCTGGAAGGCTGCCAGGTGTTTTTAAGATCAATCTGTGGCCACCTCACAGCACACGCAGCCAAATGAATGCATTTGTTCTTCTGCCATTGGCAGGTTTGAGAAGATGATCAGTGGGATGTACATGGGAGAGCTGGTCAGACTCATCCTGGTGAAGATGGCCAAGGAAGGGCTCTTGTTTGGAGGAAAGCTCACACCAGATCTTCTCACTACTGGCCACTTTGAGACCAGATTTGTCTCTGCTATTGAGAAGTAAGTAGGACCCGGATGGTTTCCTCACATCCCAGCCCATCTCCTGACCTCTGTGCTGGGGCAAAACAGGACCCACCACAGGCCTATCTACTGAGCAAACCAGGCTACTTCAGATGGCAAAAGTTGTATTTCCATGCATGAATCCTTTTTTGTTCTTTGATGTGCAGGGAGAAAGAAGGGCTGCAGAAAGCCCATGAGATCCTCACCAAGCTGGGCCTGGAGCCATCTCATGAAGACTGTATAGCTACCCTCCGCATCTGCCAGATTGTCTCCACCCGCTCGGCCAACCTGTGCGGGGCCACCCTGGCGGCCGTGCTGCGACGCATCAAGGAGAACAAGGGGGTGGACCGGCTGCGGTCCACGGTCGGCGTGGATGGCTCCGTCTACAAGAAGCATCCTCAGTGAGTCCATGGGGACAGGCAAGGCTGGTGGGGAGAGAGAGCACAAATCTGTTCCTGCCAGCAGCAGATAAAGCTTGGCACAAACAGAGCATCTCCAAATATTCCCCTGGGCACCTCCGTTTGGATCCCAAGGGGTCATTTACAACCCCAGAGGGTCACATCATCCATGGTGACATACTCAGGTCCTCTTTCCTCCTCCATAGCTTTGCCCGGCGCCTCCATAAGACGGTGCGGAAGCTGCTGCCAGACTGCGAGATCCGCTTCGTGAGGTCAGAAGATGGAAGCGGCAAAGGGGCAGCCATGGTGACGGCGGTGGCCTACAGACTGGCTGCCCAGCACAAGGCACGGCAGAAGATTTTGGAGGCGCTCAAGCTGAGCCATGACCAGCTCCTGGAGGTGAAGCAAAGGATGAGGATAGAGATTGAGAAAGGGTTGGGCAAGGAGACGCACCAAGAGGCAACGGTGAAAATGCTGCCCACCTATGTGTGCTCAACTCCAGATGGCACAGGTGATGTACCACAAGCCCACAGATGTGCTGTGTAGGGCAAAGAGCCAGCATGGCTGCTCCCAGCATCTGCAGTCCTTAGGGAAGGGCTGGGACCTTTGCCATGGCCAGTTCCCTCTTTGTGGTGGGAGTGGCACAAAGCTTTTTAACAACCAGTATGATACTGGTAAAAGTGGCTGAACCTCCAGGACGTTCTGCACTTGACTTAAGACAAAGCCTGGCTTTCACTGTGGTTTTTGCCACCGCAGGTGTCTCACCACCATTGTCCTGGGTTGTGCTCCCAGTTCTCTGTGGCTTGGGTGTACACCTGCCCCTTGGCTTGAAATCCTGGGATTTCCCCAAGTCTGTAGGAAACCTCTCCATCACCTTCCTACCTGCAGCTGCACCTCCATTCCCAGCCACCTCTTGGTTTCTGGTCCTCTCCCAGGAAGAGGGCACATTCGGCTCAGCTTTGTGCCACACTCACAATACTCCTTGTCAGGATCTCTCTCCTAATGGTTCTCTCTTGGGTTTCAGAAAAAGGAGATTTCCTCGCCCTGGACTTGGGAGGTACCAATTTCCGTGTGCTGCTGGTGCGTGTGAGGAACGGGATGAGGCGTGGTGTCGAGATGCACAACAAGATCTACTCCATCCCAGTGGAGATCATGCAGGGGACGGGAGAGGAGGTGAGGATGGGCAGCTGGAGGTTGAAAACTGGGGCATCTTCCCTGGGGTGGCAGCAGAAGTGGCAGGCAGTGGATCAGACAGCCGGTGCTGGCTGACCACAGGAGCTCTTCTTGTCGTGCTCTGCTTTCCAGGGTGCAGACCCAGGAGGGTGGAGAAGGCTGCTGCTCTCCTGCCTTGAGAGCAGCCAGTTCTGCCCAAGGCTCCCAAGTTTGTGCTTTAGGAAGCTTGAGACTGTTCTTTAGGTTAGAAATTGTGTTATTCCCAGACATCGCTGAACCCTACCCTGAATCCCACATGCTCCACAAGGGCAGATAAGCATCATCCCGGTTTCCCAGATAGAGAAACCACAACACAAGCAGTAGATGTCTCCAGAGTCTTATTTGCAGGTGGAAAAAGTTTTGCAAACCACTCCAGGCAGTGCTCAGGGACTGGGAGTGTTTCTAGCAGACAGGCACTGGGATACCTCCCAGAGGGACTGGATTCCCGTGTCACCCCTGGGAAGCTGGTCCCTCCATCCAGCTCCCTGGGTGCTGGGTCCCCACCAGCCCCTCCATCCCTTCTGGGTGCAGTACAGGACCTGCAAGGTGGAGGTATCTCAGTGATGTGACTGCACTGTCAGTGGGGGAGAGGATGAAAGAGGAGGTGTTTTGGGGTTGCTCACCTCGTGCAGTGCAGCGGAGAAGCATCCTGGTCTGTTCAAAGCCCTGTTGGCCTGGGAGTGGATCAGCATCTCCAGTAGGTTGGGCAGGCTGGCATCCAGCTGAGTTTCTTGCTGTGATGGTAACTTCTCTTTTTGGCTTTGTGCACCCAGCTCTTTGACCACATTGTCCACTGCATCTCTGACTTCCTGGAATACATGGGAATGAAGGGTGTATCACTCCCGCTTGGATTCACATTCTCCTTCCCTTGCCAGCAGAACAACCTGGATGAGGTAAGCCCCAACCCACCTCATAGCACACATGTCCAGTACCCAGGGCTGGCTGAAAAGCTGGAAACTCTTACCTACCAGAGTCAATGACCATGTGGCAGGTCAGAAGGGGCAGGGGGAAGGCAGGAGCGTGGAGCTGCTGGTGCTGCTGAAAAGCCCCCTTGCTGCATCAAAGCAAGCTCCACTTGAGCTCTGGAGACAACCCAGCTGAGCCATCCTCCACGCATGAGGATCTGACCTTCACGTGCTGGGCAGTGCCCACCAAGAGCTGGTGGACATGGGGTTGTTGGCCCTCCCCCCCAGCAGCCTGGGTGATTTACCGTGGGGTATTTCCACAACAGGGGATTCTCCTGAAGTGGACGAAAGGTTTCAAGGCGACCGGCTGCGAAGGAGAAGACGTGGTGAACCTGCTGAAGGAGGCAATTCACAGGAGAGAGGTGAGTGGCCACGTAGCTGCGAGAAGCTGGTTGCTTGCTCCCACATCCCAGTCGTCTTCGGCATCTTTAATTGGCCTGTAAAGCAAATTAATGGGCTGAGCACAGGGCTAATGACTGTCTGAATTTTAACAACCACCTTAGTCACCACTAGAGGTTGGATTTTCAGACCCCGGAGCTAAGAGCTGGCTTCTGGCCAGGGCTGGAGCAGACTTGTCTCACTGCAGGTTAGGGAAGCACCATGCTTGTTTCTTCAGCACAGACCACCCAAAGCTCCTGCCCTGGGGGCTGTTTCTGGCAGGGCTGTCCCAACGTGCCACCTCCTCTCTAGTCGTGTCCTGCTGGAGGTCTTGAGGTTTGAGTGTTCACCTGCAGACACGTGGGGCTGCAGGGAGTCCCTGGGTGCCTGGACTATTCCCATGCTCAGCAGACAGGGCCTTTCCCAGTTGTGGCAGCAGATGTAGGAAGCTGCGTCCTCCGGGAATAACCCACACAATCCCATCCCTCTGCAGGAATTTGACCTGGACGTGGTTGCGGTGGTAAATGACACAGTTGGCACCATGATGGCCTGTGGGTATGAAGATCCGTACTGTGAAGTTGGGCTCATAGTCGGTGAGGACTGAAACTTTCTTATGGAGTTCCTCTGCCCGCAGCCCCACATCTGCTCCCATGGGGTGCTCCTGGCTGCAGAAGGTGTCTGAGGGCTTTTATCTTGCGTACGCACCACGCTTCTCCAACAGCCCCATTGAAAGATGCTTCTCTCTCTGCAGGCACAGGCAGCAACGCCTGTTACATGGAGGAGATGAGGAACGTGGAGCTGGTGGAAGGGGAGGAGGGCAGGATGTGTGTCAACATGGAGTGGGGGGCATTTGGTGACAACGGGTGCTTGGATGACATACGGACAGAGTTTGACTTGGCGGTGGATGAGCTGTCTCTCAACCCTGGGAAGCAAAGGTGTGTGGTGGCTTTGGGGAGCTGGGAAGGGATCCCCAGTGAGCCTGGGTGTCCAGGAACAGTCCCACCAGCCTCTTGGTGGATCATCAGGGGACGAGTCCAGCTCTGTGACGCACCAATGTGTCCCATGTCCCCTGCCTGCAGGGTGGGGACCGCACTGCTGGACTTGCTCCAGGTTGTCAGGCATCTGGCAGAGCTGGACTCGCGATCCAGACCCAGAGACCCTTCTTGTCCTGATGCCCAGCCTTGCCCTCTCCCTCCAGGTTTGAGAAGATGATCAGTGGGATGTACCTGGGGGAGATCGTTCGAAACATCCTGATGGATTTCACCAAGCGGGGCCTGCTCTTCCGGGGACGGATCTCAGAGAGGCTGAAGACCAGAGGGATCTTTGAGACCAAGTTCCTGTCCCAGATAGAAAGGTGAGGTCCAACAGGTGGGGTGGGCTCCAGCTCAGGCCATACAGCTGCAGATCAGAGCAGAGATGTAGCTTAGGGAGAGCATTCCCAGGGCTTGTGGGAGAAGCCCCAAGCACTCCGTCTGGAGCCAGGATGACACAGGGTGGTGCAATGAAGGTAACTCAGAAAATCCACGTGGTTCTGACAGGGCCAGTGTTGAGAGACAGTGGAACTGGCTGGGGGTGGCAGCACATATGCCTCTTTATCCTCTGCCCTGGACAGAGGTGGGTCACAGGTTCAGTAGTCGTCATGCTCCACATCAATGCCTTTGACCTGAAATGGCCTCACTGATTAGGATATGACATCAGAGCCACATCCAGGTCTGGAAGCTGAGGTTAGAGAGGAGCTGTAGAGTCCCTCCAGTCAGTGTCACAAGTCCCTGGGCCCTGCAGGATGTAGATAAGAAAGGGGAAGCCACACGTCTGAGTTGTTCCATCTCCTAATGCTCCCTGGCTCTTGTGTCCTCCCCAGCGACTGCCTGGCCCTGCTCCAGGTTCGCTCCATCCTCCAGCATCTCGGCCTGGAGAGCACATGCGATGACAGCATCATCGTGAAGGAGGTGTGCGCGGTGGTGGCCCGGCGGGCAGCTCAGCTCTGCGGGGCCGGCATGGCAGCCGTGGTGGACAAGATCCGGGAGAACCGTGGGCTGGACTTCCTCAAGATCACAGTTGGAGTGGATGGGACACTCTACAAGCTGCATCCTCAGTGAGTTCTTGGTGGTGGGTGGTGGAAAGGTGGCTGTCCTCCAAGGAGGCTCATGGCGGTGCCTCTGCTCATCTCAGGCAGATGGGGTGCTAAGAGCCAGTGTGGAGAGCTTCTCAGCGTAGTTGGAGAGGGAGGTACTTTAGGGTCTCAAGGGCGACCAGTAGCTCACTGCTTTAAACTCTGTCAAGGCACAGCAAGAACCAGCTGCTCCCTAAAGGATGGGGCACCAGGACAGATAACACAGCAGGGTCCTTGGACCAGCCAGGACCAGTCCCACAATCCCTGAGGCCTGGTTGACCCAGAAGTGGTGACCAGGTCCAACCAGGAGTCCAGTTCATCAGGCAAAGTCATGGGGAGGAGGCAGGTGGAAACCAAGAAGTCAGTCCATGATCTGGACCAAGAAGGCCCACAGCCAAGCAGAACTATGTGCCTGAGCTGAAGGCTGGTGCTCCCAAGACAACGGAGCTCAGGCAAGGACTAAAGGCACAGGGCTGAGGTTAAGTAAGGCTCAGGGATCCATGGGTGGAGGGGGAGCTCCAAAGATCCCCCTGGGGGGGGCTTGTAAGGACTTTTAGTGCTCTCAGGGCTTGGTGGGACCACTAGGTTTGGCCCTGAGTGGAAGGAGAACACAAGTCTGTAAACTATACTGTGAACTGAGGCTGAAGTGTGGAGCCTTACGCTTCCCAGTGCCTCCTGCCTGGCAGCTCTCTCTCCATCCGCCTTTCTCCCCGGTGTCCGTGGCACCTTGGGTTGAAGGCAACCGTGCAGATAGGTGTGGGCTGGTCCCTGTGGGCTGGTCCCTTCAGCCTCAGGCAGGTTAAATCAGCAGCTCTTCCTTCCTTCCCTGACAGCTTCTCCACCGTCATGCACGAGACCGTGAAGCAGTTGTCTCCAAAGTGTGAAGTGACCTTTCTCCAGTCGGAAGACGGCAGCGGCAAGGGCGCAGCGCTCATCACGGCGGTGGCCTGTCGGATCCGGGAGGCCGGCCAGCGGTAGAAGGAAGGAGGTTTGCCGAAGAGCTTGATTTCAGCAAAACAGGACGTTTCCCCACCCAGTCCCTCCCTCCCTCCGTACACACACACACACACACACACACGGCCTCCCCTTCCAAGCAGACCCTTAGCTTTACTTGTTCTCTTGGGATACCACCCGTGGGACTGGAGATGCTGTGTGCTCGGTATAAAGAGTTGTCTTAGGAGTTTTAGTGCATGCCATAAAACCACCCACCAGTAAAGCTAAAAGTGTCTTTAGGCTGTCTACACTTCCAGTTAGAGCTGGACCTGTCCCACTCGCAGCCTCTGTCAAACACCAGCTCTCCTCCCCACGGCTCCTTAACCACTCTCACATCTTCCCTGACAGCAGCAAGGATAATGCTAGACTAATTAAGACACTGCATTGTCACTTTACAGTAACTGGTACCTATTTATGTCTGTCGGAGTCGTAGTGCGTCCGTGCTGTAGAAAGCAAACCTCTTTAAGATTGGGCTAAAGACCTCCATTAGTCTTTTACCCTGATCAAGGCTGTATTATTTCCATGAAAGTCATGGTAACTCTTAAAGCACAGGGTGCAGAATTCCAACCAGCGTGGTCTGGGTCTGCACTGGGAGATACCAAGTATCTCTGTTGGTGAGCAATATTAAAGAACCTGCTGGAGCCGAGTTAGAGGGGTCCCTTTACCCGCTCCAGCAGAGCACGTGCCTGGAAATAATTGGGGACTCAGGGTCTAATCCCATTTCCCGACCTCTCACCCGCACCCTAAACAGAGTGTAGTAGTGTGGCACGTAGGTATGGTTGTGTTTCACCCCTGGAAACCACTAGCACCCTTCCCTGGGGCGTGCGTGGACGCGGGGTGGTCCCTTCCCCGTCGCTGCGCGCACCGGGGCGGCGCGGCCGTCGGTCTGCACTTGGCGTGGTGAGTTGGGTTTGCTTTTTGTCTGTGAAATAGTTCCTGCATCTTCAGCCTTTTAGGTGACACCTGGATTTGTACACTGTATATTTATGTTTCAAGAGATCTTACATCTTTTTATGTACATAGTCTTGGGGGGGTTATATTGCTTAGTTTTGACTCCACCTTTTAATGTCACTTAAGAATGGTATAGAGTACTTATTTTCTTTTTTTTTTTTTCTTGTGTTATTTTTTTAATTTAAAATTTTCTTGGGGTAAACTGGAGAAAGAGACCCAAATTCCTGAGGGCAGTTGTACAAGAGGTTTGGGCATTCTGAATTTATCACCGGAACAAAAGGAAAACCAGGAAGCCAGGGACAGGACTCGTGGGGAGCAGCGGGGTGCCGCAGCAAAACTTCCAGGGTTAGGCTGCTTTGAACCTAAGGAGAGGTTTTATTTTGCCCTCCCGTGCCCTCCCCAACCTGTTTTGCTCTGGAAAGCCACGTCGCTTCCTACTGGGGTGTGTGGTGACATAACCCAGGGCTCTGTAGGGACATGTGGACGGTGTGTAGGGGCTGGCAGCCGGGCACCGGCAGCCTCAGCTCCTTGGATGAAGTTCACAGCACTAATCAGTGTCACCTCATTTCCATCTGGCATCCTTGGGGCTGGGGGTGAGCGTTCCCGGGGGGTGTGTGTGCCCATAGCATCGCTTTGCACACGTGGGTGAGAAGCAGCCAGTATTTTTTTGCCAACAGAAAAGCCCGTGGATGAGCTGAGCGCGGCAGTTCTCTGCCTGAGCCAGCAGAGGCACGTGGAGGAGGGTGGGTACGTTTCTGTAAATATTTAGCAGAAGATAATGAAATCCCAGTGATGTACAAAAGAAAAAAATAATTAATAATTCCCACGAACAGACCTTCAGTTTGGAGGATAGAGTTTTTGTCTATTTTTATGTATATTTTTATACTGCTTGGGGTAACCGCATTACCAAAAGTATCTCTTCTATGTTGGGGTCAAGTTCAGTAGCACAATTTTAAAGCAAAATTACTCTTTGGGCATTTTAAATGCTTTTTTTTTTTTTTTTTTTATAAGCCTCAAGACAATTATAACAAATAAAATCTGACTGTGTATAGAAATGATGTAAGAAACCAAGTTTAGTGGAAGATTTAGAGGATGATAAATAAATTTTTGAAAGATGATAGAGAAATCCTCTCACATGGTACCAAGCAGTTGTGTGTGATTCTTTCCTGAGAAGAGCAGCATCTTGCCTACTGAAAAATTGTGGTTTTACCTGCTGCCCCACGCAGAAGGTTGCAGTAGTGGCTGCATTTTCAAACTCTTATCCAGCTGTACCTCTTTGGAAATCTAGCGTGTTCAGCAGTTAGTGAGCTAAATTTTATACAACTAGTTTTTTGGGGAGAGAGTGGGAAAGATCAGGACTATGGGGCAGCCCCACTTTTGTAGCTGGTTCAGGCTCCAGTTCAGCAAATTGTTGGAGGGGGTGAGGTGAAGGGTGAGAAGGGAAGGTGGGCAGTGAAGTACCTGGTTAGCGAGGCCGGGGGGAGCAGGGGAACCTCACCCCCCCTCCTTTCCTTGCAGCAGAGGATGGGCTGTGCCTTCACAGCCGCAGGAGCTGTATTTAGTCACTGAGCACTTTCTCTTCTCCTGGAGGAGAGGAATTAAAGGCAGCACGAGTTACTTGGAGCTACAGCTGTTTTTGGTCTGTCCCACAGTGTCTGGTCTGGGGGGTGGTGGTGGTGGTAGCAGCAGCTCTGTAGGGCTGGCAAAGCCAGGGAGCCACGTGCCCAAAGTCGAGGATAGGGATTGAAAGGTTCTTGTGAGAGGGGATTTTTGGCTGGGCTCGGTCAGATGGATGCCCACCTGGATAGCCAGCAGGCTCCTGTAAAGCTTTAAAGCTTTTGCTTCCCCTTTGCTTTGATTCAGAATGAAGCAGGGTCTGAAATGCTCCCGGTGAAAAAGGCAATACTTGAAGCGTTACAAGAGACCTGTGTTAACCTGTGACTGCAGGTATGGCCCCAGCCCTAAGAAAGGTTTTTATTCCACACTTTGAGAAGTTGGGGCTCCTTTTTGCCTCAAAGGGGAGGACCATGGGAGATGTTTGCTGTAGAGTCTGCTTGTCATGTCAGTGGGACTGTAACCTCACACCAAAACGTTGCCATGGGATGTTATGTGAATGTGTTTAACATGAAGAAGGGAAGATTAAATCATAACTATTGATATGAAGGGAAGATGAAATCTATTCTATGTAGGAAGAGATGGACAGACTGAGCAACTTGATTTGCCCAGTCCGTCTCTTTCTTCCAGTAAGAAGCGCTGCTTTGTGGATTTAGGATGGCTTTTGTTTTGTTGGGTTGTTCCCATTAGGATGCATTTTCTTTGCACACTCCTCTGGCCACAGCGGCAGCAGGAGACCAGGTCTTCCACTGTGTCAGCTGCTACGCTGGGGACATTGACCTTTCCTCCCTGGCAATTCTCTCCTCATTGGGTCTTTGGACAGGATTTTATTGCTACGGCTTTATAAAACAAATATATATATATATACATATATATACATACACACACACAAGGAGAAAATTATTGAGCCTTGCAAGAGGAATTTGCCTTTTCTCTTCCTGGAGTGAAAGGCTGGGGGGGGGTAAAGCACCATGTTCAGCCACCCAGGACGTTTGAGAGAAGCATCTCTGAGCGTGGGGGATGCAGAGATCTTGGCTGGGCAGAGCTGGGAGGTGGTTTGACCCCAGACAGGTCGGTGCCCCCGTCCTGCGCGCTCTCTTATCAGGCAATGCAAACGTGCCCGGGGTGTCTGACCCAGATAAGAGGGTGAATAGGTCCTGTGCAGGGGAGGGGAGTGGGGACAGGTGTAAGAGACAGTGACAAAAACCACAAGTCCCCACCACAAAGGGTGGCGAGGTACCAGACCGCAACAAAATACACTGGAATGGGGGGAGCCTTGGTGCCCCCCAACCTTGCCCCAATCTCCTCCCCTCCCTCCAGCAGATAGAGAGTGGAAAATACCTTCTTTTGACAGATCATTTCGCTTGCTCGCGTAGAAAAGCGATCACTGAAGGCAAAACAGGTGATTCCTGGTCACAAAGTAATTTGGAGCGAGTCAAATTATTTGCCTGGTGACATCCCTGACAAGTCTGGAGTCTTTCTGGGCTGAAGCAAAGAAAATGCATCTTAATGCAGGTGTTGGCTCCGCGCGGGGCAGGGGGAGTTAAATAAAGCCAAAGACTGTTCAGCTGCTAGCAGAAATGAGTGACTGTAGATTCACCTGATGTTGTTATTTCGTGTTTACAATATTTATTTTTAGTAATTGACTGCAATTATATTATATATAGGCTTCCTTATTTTTGTACTTTTCATACCGTTTTCCTGAGTGTGGTGTTGTACTTCTCAGCTCCCCTTTGCCACAATTGCTGCTCCTAGTCAGTGACAAATAAAAGAGAGAAAAAAAAAAAAAAAACCACAACACACAAACCACCACCCATTTTCTGGGGTAAAATTGTGATGTTTTTGGGTTTCTGTGCTCCTCTCCTTTGCAATCCCTTAGGAAGGGCACCTGCACTACTGCCCTGTCCCAAACCCCTGATCCTGTCCACTGGGAAGAAGGACCAAAGCTGGGAAGGGATTTGTTTTTTTGCACTGACAGTGTCCTCACAACCAGGAGGGCGAGGGAGGGACCAGGACACCCATAGGTCACAGAAAGGAGTCCTTAATGACTGGGGAGAAAAAAAAAAATATCTCAAGATGAATTTCCTGTAAGCTCTTGGCCCCATATCCCACATCCTCATGGTGGGGTGGCAGTTCCCCAGCAGCAGAGGTGCACGGGGCTGTGCAGCCAGGACACACGGCGATGGCTTGCCCAGGGTGAGCAGGGGCTGAGGAGGGCACTGGGAGCCAGGGGGGTGGCAAGGGCAGAGCAGGATCTGGACCCCAATGGAAGGTGCTGAGCCCTCAGCACAAAGCAGGAGCCCTGCAGCAGCTCAACCCACCACCAGAGATTGCATTTCAGCTCTGGCATTACATAAACCCCAGGTATTTCAACGTACTGGTTCTCTTTGGCCATTAACAAACAGCCCCAGTTTCCTTCCACTGAACCAGTAACAAAGTCTTGGTATTTCTAGTTAAAAATAAAAACTGCTTACTTAAGTATCTAAATGCCAAGTTCGATGCTGTAGCAGATGAACACCTTAAAACACTTCTGCTTTCTGTGTCCAAAGAAGTGTAAGACAACACGAGATCACACAGAGCACATCCACGGGCTGAGTGCAATAGAAAGAGCTTTTCATGGCAGAAAAGGAGAGACACTGGTGAGAAGTCCACTTGAAATCATTTATTGACAAGTTGCCATGTTTTCCCATCTTGCCTGACACATTTTTATCCTTGTTATAAAGTACAAATGGTTTTATACTTTTCTGACAACATTAAAAAAATAGGCTACTAAAGAGGCAAAATTGCCCCTTTGAATCCAAAAATCCTGCTGTAAGAATTCAAAATTGCGATAGACAAACATAAAACCCAAGAGACAGACAGAAGGAATACAGTGTACCTCTGACACTGGACTCGTTCCTCACACCAACTGAAAAGGAATCCCTTGTTCCCAGCTCCTCCTTTGGATCCTGTGACCTTGCTTAAACTGACGTGAAGTTTGTGTTAACACGTACAGCTCAAAAGGCACTCGAAGGTCACAAGTTCCTGAGCTAAAAGGGGATATTTTCCCAATGTAACAGTTAAAACAAGTCACAAAAAGCAATGTTTAAAAACTGGTATTTGGTTCACGTCAGTATAGTAAGCATTCAGGAGGATCCAGCTGCAGGCTGCTGATGTATAACAGACTGAAATGATGGTTAGTCTATTGGAGTATTTTCAGTATGTGGAAAAAAAAAGAATTCACTTACAAGCATCCTTATTAGCAAATTCATGTGCTAAAAAAAGAGAAATATTTTCTGTGATGTTAAAAAAAGCCCAAGAACAAGAAAGAAATGTATGTGTTATCTGATGCACTAAAGGTTTAAAAACAAGCAGATCTGAAAGTCTGTACAGTTAAATAACTAAGAAAAGTTCACGGGCAACATTTACATGGATGTACTTGGCCCTAAAGGAAAAGGGCCACAAAAGTGAGCAGAATACGGATCTGTATTTACAGATCAGTTACTGAAAAAAAACAAACATCAGAGAACACGCTAACAAAAGCCACATGTCCTACAACGCGTGCTCAGAATCTGACAGGTAACCTCGTAAAATGTCATTCACACAAATTCCCTATTTCCAATTTGGCTCAGTTTTTGCCCAGAAAAATAGAAGTATAACACTTCCCAGACACAGAATGGCTGTGCTCTGAAGACGCAGAACAGAAATAAAATTAAAAAAAAAATGGGATAACTAGTTTTGGCCTATATAACTTCTGATCTTCTCTTCAGATATGCATAGGAGTATACTAAGGCCATAAATATATTTGCTACAGTGTAAGGCCTTTTGCTGTCAAAGCTCTGTGCGTCAGCAGGGTGTTTCACTTAAAGCAGGCATACAGAGTTACAGAAGTGCTACTATATTCCACTGAAGAGGTCTCAGGTTTCTGAATTATCTGGCAGTGCCTCACTGTCAGCCTTCTTCTCTGGTGAGGTGTACAAGAAGTTACAGCAGATGTAGAGGGGGAAGATCAGGAGTCGACTGTCCAAATTCATCACCACCTCCTCCTGGAAGGAAACACGAGGGCCGTTGGCACAGTAAGCAAGGCCATTAGAGGGAAGTCCATCAAAAGGCACACAACACTGATACTACCAGTCATTCTATAAATTTTAATTACTATGGACTAAGAAGCAGAAGATAAAAAAAGCCAAGATAGTAATTCACCTTCACCTTAGGCAGAGGCTTTATAATCTTAACACTGATAAGATATTCTCAACACGCTTTAACCCTTTGACCCAGCTCTGACAACCCTCCTGCACCAAAGAGAACAGAACCTTAAGAAACGGCTGAGCAAACTTTCCCTTCAAGCCCGTTGGAGGGAAAGGGAAACATTTCTGCACTATCAGTTTCAGATTTAACCAACCAGGCAATCCATAACAGTCAAAGCAAATTACAGTTTGTTGGCAGCAGGAATTTTTCAGTTTTATTCCAGGAATGGACTTTGGGGTAGCAAAACTGAAACTTCATCCTACAGTAAGGATGGCATTTACAGGGAAAAGTTTTCCATGCGCTCGCCATCTACATATCACTGCTGATTAGGATTTAAGAAACTTTATCAAGTCTTTCACATTCCTTACTAAATTCTGCTGTCGCAGAGGGGTGGAAACGGGCATGTTCTCTTAAGAAAACTCTGCTCCCCTCTGAGGTTTTTATTTATTTTTTTAATAGAGTAATGAATACCACCCTTGAACAATAAGCAGACAATCTTTTAACTTGTCAGCAAGAATCTTTAAAAAAAACTCCAAATTTGCGTCTAAATAAGCAAGAATTTGATGGACATGTTATTCAGAAGAGTAATCTCACCAGCCTTGGAAGCAGTTGCCCAGCAGACAGCCCACAAGCAGATAGCTTCTGCAGCATCTAACTTCTTCACCATTGGGGAACTAACTTCACCATTGCCAACATTAATGAAATCCATGCTATCCTACTCTAGTTACAGTTGAGAAATTAGCTTAATCTCCCACTGCCTATAAAAGGAATGCTTGAAATTCCACATAAGCAATAACAATAAGAACAACAACTGCTCTTCAAAAGCATCGCTGACTTCTCAGCATTTTTTTCATACCTTGGACTCTACAACTCCAGTTCAACAGCTTAGAATTCCACAAACATACCTGGTCCTTCTCGAGGGTTAGGATTCGATACCCCGTTGTCCTACTGCAAATAATTTTCCCACTGCTATCAAAAGAGGCTAGACGTAACCTAGGGACATAAAAACAGTTAAATTAAGTTAGTATCCCATAACTCAGTGATTCTAGCATAAAGAGCTTCTCCCAGGGAGACAGAATAAGATTTTCAAACGAAACTATCTTGGTGGCAACAAAATTTAATGCAAACACAGACGGAAAGACTTTGTTAGAGTAAGACATTTTCGCATACACCACAGGGCCTGCTTCTTGGCTACCCTTTACCTGAAGGCTATGTTTCTCCGAGGCTGCAGACTGACTGATCCACTGCACGGCTGATTCAGCGTATTCCGTTTGAAAATGATGTAACGATTTGTATAAGTAACGAGAAGGTCAAAGCCAAAGTTGAACCCAGTCCAGCGCCAGCAGTACTGAAGAACATCAGTAGAAAAACAAAAACCCAAACAAACCAGCCTGAGTATTGGCTACAACATGAAAAGCACCACTTCTCCAACAAATCAAATTTGGGAATGGGATTCTCAGCTACAGGGATGGATGGTGGATTCAAGGACCCTCACCAACACCTCTCTGAAACATCTTGGTAGGCAACCACACACTTTTGGGGGCCAGCCCTTGCAGACAGATGATACACGAGACAAGCTTAGTATCAACTGCCTTCCAAATATACAGAAACACATTTAATGACAGTGGATTTAAAATATTTCTGCATTTAAAATACTTCTGCATTCTGGTCACTGGTGCTGTGTTTCTGAGTAGCCCTTAACTACAGGTCCCGTTCATGCACAAAGCACTCCTTGGAGCACCACATCCTTGGTTCAAGTGACTTCAGTGGGAAAATACTCATGTTTCCTCTTTTTTCACAAGAGCCTGGCTGTGACTATTACACGTTTTACCTAGAAAGCTTCCTTTTCCAGTTAAAAAGACAGCGGTGATCAAAGCTATATTTTAGCTGCAAGTATTTTACAAGTCTCAAATGACAAGTCCTGGCTACATTCCCTCCTTTCACACACTAAAAGTTTTTCCAAACATGGGCTTGTTTGCAGTGTACAAGCACAATTAAAACACTTAATTCCTTGTTCATCATAAAGACAGCAAATGTTTTCATCCTTCTAGGGAGAATGAAATATTTTTTTTTAACGTACCATTTCCTTTTTGATGCAGTTTGACAATTAAGACCTAGATGTTTTGAAAATACCTAACATGTCCAAGCCACACCAGCTATGCACAGCCTTAGCCACATGCCATACTTACATCACCATCCTTTGCAAGTTTTCGACCACACCTCATGCTATTTGCTTCCAGTTCCTCTTTATTTATTTCTTGAGGCCTACGAAAAAGGAAAAAAAAAAAGTGCATCTTTAAGGACGCTTAAACAGCTTTGTACGGTGCTTTAAGGTGGGAAAGATGAACAGCCAAGAGTACACTGGCATGACCACACAAATGACCCTCCTTCGAACAGAGGTTAGGCTAGATGACCTCCCAGGACTCCTTCCAACCCAAATTATCCCACGAACATCTAACTACCATACAAAACTGCAATATAAACCTCAGGTAGGTAGGTTCTTACAGAAGAACCTTTCCAGATAAGAAAATAATAGCTATTGCAATGAAATATGCTCTCTAATCC